AGAGCTCAGCTGCCTCAGTTTCCTCTTTTGTAGAGCAGGCACCACAGTGAGGTGTGACATACATGGAGGATTTTCAGTGACACTTTTGTCCGTGATCCTGACATGATACCCTGAGTCACAGCCCAGGAGGGCCCTCACAGAAGCTGAATCAGTGTGTCCACACCAACATTGACCATTATCCCGGTTTTCTGTAAAAAAATGCTCCTAAAAATCTCTATTTGTGTTTAAAACTAAATCCCCAAAGTCCAGTTTTCACTTCCTGCTGCTCTGCCCCCTGGCAGCACCCGTCTGCCTTCGTCTCACTCTCCATGAGCCTCAGGGAACGCTGCTCAGTGCTCACCACTCTGGCAGCCAACCCAGAGACACACAAGGTCAGAACCACCAGCCACCTCTCCCTGCAAGGCCTGAACAAAAGTGGGGTTTGGTTTGCCAGGAGGTTGCCCAGGCAACCAGCAGCCAGCCACCTCTCCGGCAGCCATTGTGCTCCTGGCTGGACATGGCCTCAAAAAGCCAGAGCAGGAGAGGACATGGCAGTAAATGTCCACTTCCTCTTGGAGTTGCCCAGCCCAGGAGAGTGTCCACTTCCTCTCAGAGGGGCCCAGCTTGGCACAAGCATCTACTTCCTTTGGAGAGGCCCTTCCCTGGAAAACAACCACTTCCTCGGAGGGGGGTGGGCATCCATTTGGTGCTATCCCAGATGTCCGTCTGCACCGACTCCTCAGGTTGAGCCTCTGCCTTCTCACCTGACAGCAGGTGTGAGACCCAGAGTCGGTTCACTCAGTTGGTTCACTGCTGGATGAGTGCAGGGAAGCACACAGACAGCTGCAAACAGACAAACACATGCCACATGCCTGCAATGTAGACACTTAGACATGCAAACACATGTACACAGAGCCATACACACCATACATGGGTGCACAGACACACATGCATGCAAACAAGCATGTACCACATGCCTGCAATGTACCCACACAGAACACATGTGCACACCGACATTTAAACACATGTGTACACACATGCATGCAAACAAGCACATGCTACATGCCTGTAAGGTCTACATACCACATGTGTGTGCAGACACACATACACAGCACATAGACATGCACCCCACACATGTACCAGACACATACACACCACACGTGTGCAAAGACACCACGTGCGCAGAGACACGCTACACATGTGCAGACACACCACATGTGCAAAGAGACACACCACACATGTACACAGACACTTGCCACTGACAGTCACATTCAGCCCCTCAGAAGACACAGCTAGTTTATATTTCCAATTATACATATAATTACATTTCTGAACCCATTAGCATGACTTCTGTGAGCACGTGATTCCCCGAGTGGCAAACAGAGATGAGCTTGATGATTGCAGATGAGCAGCACTGGGAATTTTAATTTTTATGTTACTTGAAATTCACCACCCAATAATAACAGCGCTACTTGGATGGAGCAGACTTCCACATTCAATTAAAAGCAGAGCCACGGCTCCGGCTGAGCCCCGAGGCAGCAGCACTGCCAGGAGGAAGGAAGGGCCCAGCGGGCGGCTGTGCCAGACCCGGGCTGTGCCCGCTGTGCCTTGGGCAGCAGCCCTACAGGTAAGAGCGGGAGGCTCTGGAGAAAGCCGTGGGCAGCCTGACCAGCCCCTGCATCTGCAGCTGCCTTTGTCCATGGCTAGCAAATTTATCACTGTTTTTTTTTTTTTTTTGCTTTTTTGCTTTTTGAGTCACAGCGGTAGGGCGTTTGCCTTATATGCAGCCAATATGGCCGACCCGAGTTCGATTCCTCCGCCCCTCTTGGAGAGCCTGGCAAGCTACCGAGAGTATCTCGCCCACACGGCAGAGCCTGGCAAGCTACCTATGATGTATTTGATATGCCAAACACAGTAACAACAAGTCTCATGATGGAGACGTTACTGGGCCCGCTCGAGCAAATCGATGAACAACGGGAGGACTGTGACTGTGACTGTGCTTTTTGGGTCACACCCGGTGATGCACAGGGGTTACTCCTGGCTCTGCACTCAGGAATTACTCCTGGCAGCGCTCAGGGGACCTCAGGGAGCCATATGGGATGCTGGGCATCGAACCCGGGTCGGCTGCGTGCAAGGCAAATGCCCTACCTGCTGTGCTATCGCTCCAGCCCCTTGATCACTGTTTGATCAAAGAATCCAGCTCCTTCTCCTCTCACCTCTTTTGTTTGTTTTTGGAGCCACACCAGGCAGTGCTCAGGGATGGCTCCTGGCTCTACTCAGAAATCACTCCTGGCGGTACTTGGGGAGCCGTGTGGGGTGCTGGGGATCAAATCATGCATGCAGCTGACCCAGGCTTGATCCCTGCTGTACTATCTCTTCAGCCCCTCTTCTCATCCCTTTACAGCTCCAGAGACTTGGACTTCCCATAGCTCAGTTCAGAACCAAGTAAGGGGCTAGGGATTCCTCTGGCCCTGGGGTGAGGAAGAAACGCCAGCTCCCAACCCTGCAGGCACCTCCATGGAGAGGAAAGGGCTGGGTCCTCTGGCATCAACCCCCTTGGAGCAGGGTGTGGGCCCTGCGACACACCTGCCCCGAGGAGGTGCATTACCCAGGGCCGTTCCCCTGCCACAGCGCTGCTCACCTGGCTCCTGCTACAGAGCACCTGCCACACACACCGGTGGCGCCTCTGCTGGCCTGGGGCCTCATCCGGTTGCTTTTGAGCTTCTGTGGGTTAGAGAGGAGTGTGGGTCCCGTGTAGAACCCAAATCCCTTTGGCACGGCTGTCCAGGGCTCAGACTGAAAGCCCCATGTGCCCAGGTGCTTGGAGTATGGGCACTGCTGAGAACACTCAAGAAGGTGGCCTGCAGCCCTTCCCAGCCATCTCCGCAGCTTCAGCTCTGGGCTGAGCCATTGCCCACTGCAGAGACATTGCCAGGTCTCATGAGAGCAGGCACAGGCTGCAGATGCCGTGAGCTCCTGGGGACCCCACTGGCTGACCGATCAGCAAGGAGCAGTGTCTGGGACTGGGGGCCCCAGCCCTGGCGGCTCCATCTTTGACTACCCAGGAGGGGTGAGTGTGAGGTCATATCCCCGGGCAAGGAGGCGTCCCCGCTCCGGGCTCAGGGCCAGGACAGAGTTGGTGCTGACCTATCAAAATCTCTGTGAGTCCTGATGAAGGGGACATGACCAGGAGGGGCTCAGTATAGCGCTGTCGGCGGCTCACCTGCACCCCATGCTCTACTCACTGATCCTTGCCTAGGGTAGGTAGATAAGGAGCCCCCAGGCCCAGCCCCTTGAGCTGGCCTCTGCCTTCTCCCCAGCCCAGGGTACTACTGCCACCTGGTGGCCAGAGCAGTTCTGCATCTCCCAGCCCCCTCCAACACACACACCCTCAGTTCCCCCCACATACACACACAGATCACAGCCACTCACACACACACACACACACACACACACACACACACACGGTCCCCTCCCACACACAGAGATGACCCTAGAGGGAGTATAGAGGATCTGGGGTGTTGGGACAGAGAATGTGGGAAGTTGGGAGAGAGGATACAGGGTATTGGTAACATAGGGGTATGGGGACACGGGTTGGGGCAGCCAAGCTTGAGCCTCCAAGGCCGCAGGGGAGTGGAGGGCAGAGGTTGACCAGGCAGCCCATCAGTGGTACCATCCCTCTCTCCTCTCCACGATGCTGCCGGACTGCTCTGGGCGGTGGCCCCCACATGCCACAGAGGCAGAATTTCTGCAGGAGAAGAGGTAACATAGGATCAATGGTGGAGATGCAGCTGCTCTGGGCTCTTTGCTCAGACTGACCAGATGCCTCGAAGACCAGGCCCGGGGGACGGATGGTCCAGCCCAGCACCCACGGGCCCTGGCTAAGGATCCACATTCTGGCACTGGTGCAAGGGTCATGCACACCCCTGACCCTAACCTCCATGACCTCACTGAGCCATCCTTGGCCCTTCCCCCAGAGAGGACCCACAAAACCAGGACTTCCTCACACCAGGGAGGAAGGGGTGTGGGGCTGGGGCTAAGACTGGGGGTGCTTATGGGGGGGGTGCCAGGATTGCCCCAGAACACTGCTAGGTGGCAGTGTGGGATCATCCCTTCCAGGGCACTCCAGAACAAAGCCAGAAAAATCCGAGGTCCCGGAGTGGCTGGAGAGGGTCCCTCTGCAGCTCCGTCAGCTCCCAAGGCCTGTCAGCACCACTACAAGTCGGGCACCAGAAGTCTGGGCATCTGGCACACTTGCACCTACCTGGATGACCTCTGATCACGTGCCTGTGCGCTCCTAAGCACTCTAGTGCACACACCTATGACACCCAGCACACCCTGTGCTTGGCATCTCAGTATGCCTGTCCCTATCTGAACACCTGGACACACCTTCTGCCCCCTCGCCTGCAGTCTCACTGAATCAGGTCAGCTCCTGGGGGACTGAGCAACCGTCTTGCCTGCTGGTTCCCTGGCTCCTCGCCTGTGACTCGGGACACGGAGAGCCGTGGCCCGCAACAGCGAGGACAGCCTGAGGGCCGGTTGTCAGCATTCTGTCCCTTCCCAGCCACCGGCCCAGAGAGGCCCCCGGGGCCACGCCATGGTTCCCAGCCCCAGAGACAGGCACGGGCGGTGCAAAGCAGTGTTAGGGGCTCAGGAGCCGCTGGGGGCACTGATATCGGAGCCCTCCGCTCAGGGCTACCTCTGGCATGCGGCGTTGAGGTCACCCTGAGAAGCTGGAATTCCACACAGGAGCTCGCGTCGGCAGGGATGCGTGGCCCGAGTCAGGGCTGTTCCCGCCCGAGCTATGCACAGAGAGGTCCCTCGCCTGGGCCTCTCCGGACTTGGCAGGACTCAGCAGCACTCGGCAGCACTCGGGAGGACTGGGCAGGACTCGACGGCAATAGGGAGGACTCAGGAGGACTCGGCAGCACCCGGCAGCACTCGGGAGAATTCAGCAGCACTCAGCAGCACTCGGCAGGACTCGGTAGGACTCAGCAGGATTCGGCAGGACTGGGGAGGACTCAGCAGCACTCGGGAAGATTCGTCAGGATTCGACAGTACTCGGGAGGACTCGGCAGCACCCGGCAGCACTCGATAGAACTCGGAAGGACTCGGCAGCACGGGGTAGGACTCGGGAAGACTCGGCAGCACTCGGCAGCAGGACTTGCCAGGACTCGGCAGCATTCGGGAGAATTCGTCAGGACTCGACAGTACTCGGGAGGACTCGGCAACACTCGGCAGAACTCGGTAGAATTCGGGAGGACTCGGCAGGACTCGGGAGGACTCGGCAGGACTCGACAGCACTTGGGAGGACTCAGCAGCACCCGGCAGCACTCGGTAGAACTCAGGAGGACTCGGCAGCACTCGGCAGCACTCGGCAGGACTCGGTAGGACTCGGGTAGGACTCGGCAGCACTCGGCAGCACTCAGCAGAACTTGGCAGGACTCGGCAGGACTCGGCAGCACTTGGGAGCACTCGGGAGGACTTGGCAGGACTCGGCAGCACTCGGCAGCACTCAGCAGCACTGGGCAGCACTCAAAAAACCTCAGCAGCACCCAGCCAACACTTGACTCTGAGCTGCAGGATGACGGGCTTGGGTGCTCCTCCTGCTTCAGGAGAGGAACATCACTCATGTCCTCGTGGTACCTGTGGGCTGCAGGCAGGCCTGGCTACCAGCTGGACAAGCGCCTGCCTCGGCCGAGCCCAGGCTGCCAGTCCTATGGAGCAGACGCCTCCCTAGGAGCCTGGCAGTGGGGGCCGGCCCTGCAGCAGGGCACTTGCACCTTGCCCCGGGACCCAGAGCTATCCTGTGGGGCGCTCCTGTGTGTACGTGAGGAGGGTGTGAGGACCCATCCATGTGGGCACAGCAGCCCGGGCTGCAACCCCCTGCCCCGCCCCACCCCACCCCCCCTGTCCCAGGCCACCGCCTCCTGTCCCATCCCCTGTCTCTACCACCCATCCCAGGCCACGACGTCCTTTCTCTGCAAAGCTCTGAGTGTGATGAGTTAAAAGGCAGCTGCGCAGGGCTGGGGTGGCTCACAGGGCCGGGCACACGATTTGTCTGCATGGGACCCGGAGTTTGATCTTCATACTGCATGGCACCCAGACCACAGCACCCTCAGGCCTCACACTGAACGGCCCCCCGGTGCCCTGCTCCAGACATCCACAATTAGTAAAAGATGGTCTCCCTGGTTGTGGCACCTTAAGCTGGTTCCCTCAGAGACCAGGATGCAAAGGCACCTGGTGCAGACACAAAAGTCCAGCACTGTCATGCAGCACCAGGAGCTGGAAGAGGCTGAAGACCCTCCACCCGTGCTGTGGGAGAACTCAGCGTGCCCACGGAGAAGTCCTAGGCTTATGGCCCTGCAGCAAGAACCCCCCTCCCAACCAGCCCCCCCCCCCCCCCCCCCCAGCCTCAGCCTCCCAGCCGGCCCTGGGCTGGAAAGCTCCCCTGCTCCAGGCCAACACTACCACTCACCGATCAGGATGCAGCTGGGAACTTCAACTCACTGCAGGTTCCCCGGCTCCTCACAGGGTTCTCAGGACGGAATCTTCTAGAAAGCACATTCCTCCTGGAGACAAAGGCTGTTGTCACAGGGGCTTGCCTGAAGTGTGGGCAGGGAGCACGTCTCAGAGGGCAGAATGTGATGTGTGCAGCCACGGGCACCATTGCCTGGCAGTGCCCTGCATGGAAGGAGCCTGGTAGCCCTAGGGATCTGTCCGGAGACCCCACTGCCTGCCCCCTGCAGCTACGGAACCCTCACCCCCCTCACTGCCTCTCCTCCTTCCTCTGGGGGCTGGGTTGCAGCTACCCCGGGCCTTCACAGCCTCCAGTCCTCCCCCAGCGGGAATCATGCCAAGACATCCAGTGTGGGTCAGGCCAGCCTCCCCAGAACAGAGCCTGCTTGTTCTGGCCTCGCCGGACAGAGGCCTGCACAGAGAACCAGGCCACTGCTCAACTGTGCGCGCACACGCATGTCAGTAGGCACACAGGCATGGCAGCATGGAGCACAGCGGGAGCACCTATGTGCGGAGGGGCTCAGTGGAGGGGCAGGTGGGACAGAGGGCTGGATGAGACGGGCTTCTCCTGCACTACCTCAAGGGCAGCACCTGGCCATTTGTGCTGGTGGGGCTGGAGGTAGCCCCAGAGCTCCTGGCTGTTAACTCAGCACCGCACAGGTATCCCTAAGAGCTCTGTGCACTGTCCCCAAAACTCGGGCTGGAGAAGGAGCCCAGAGAACTGGAGCAGGGCCAGCTCCAGAGGTGCTCAGGCTCTGCCATCCCGGCCCGCTCACGCTGCTTGTCCTGCTTACCCCATCCGCCTGCAGCCCTCCACCCCGTCTCTCCTGTCCTGTTCACGCCCCCTGCTCCCTCCCACCCCCCTTCCACCTCACTGCCCCCCATCTGCCTCCCACCCCCCTGCCCTGCTGGACTGGGCGGTAGTGCCCTACCCACTGCCCCCAGTTTCCCTGTGGAGTGGTACCTTTGCTGGCCCATATCACCACAAGAGTGGTCTTTGTGTCCCCTTGGCCTATGGAGGAGCTGCTGACCAGCTGAGGCTGTGAGGACCACCCAGATTGAGACTCTGACCTCAGGCCTCCCAGATCTGGGTGGAGGGAGGCACCTGATGGGGCCCAGGAAATAGGGCTATGATTAGTTTTTTTTTTCTTTTTGGGTCACAGCCGGCAATGCACAGAGGGGTTATTCCTGGCTCTGCACTCATGAATCACCCCTGGCAGTGCTCAATGGACCATATGGGATGTTGGGAATGGAACTTGGGTTGGCCGAATGCAAGGCAAATGCCCTACCCACTGTGCTATTGTTCCAGCCCCACCTTTGTTTTTTTGAACAGGGCTATGATTAGTGCCAGACCCCAGATGCCCATTCCCAGGCCAGTGACCCCAACTCCCAGAGGCGGGCCCAGCCTGACTAGTGTCATGTCCCCACCCCCACTGTAACAGGGTCCGTGCAGCCCTGGGGCTACTGGCCAGCCGGGGGGTGTGTCAGTGCTCCCCAGCCCTGCCCCCCATGAGAGAACAGGAGGGTATGGGGTCCTAAGACGGCCCACGGCTGCCCTCCTTGGTGCCACCTCCAGCTCCAGGTACCTCTGCCCACACATCACCCCCAAGGCAGCAGTGTCCCCTCGCCCCAAACCTGAGCCCAGCAAGCTGTAGAGCCTGGGCCTGTGCCTCTCAGGCCAGGGATGGAGTCAGGTCACACCTGGAGGCCCAGCTGCGGCCCTGGGCGCCTGGTCCCTTCAGGCAGCAGCCAGAGAGGAGGGAGGTTTTCTAGGCCTGTCAGGCCCTCGGGCAGTGGGAGAGAACATCAGACAAATTGTTTCAAGTTCTGCCAGCTCGATAGTACCACAGGTGGGCACTTGCCTGCACGTGCCTGACCTGGGTCTATCCTTGGCATTTCTCATGGCCCCCAGAGCACTGCAGGACCGATCCCCAAGCGCAGAGCCGGAGTAACTGCTGAGCAGCGCCTGGAGTGCCCCCGACCCCCTCCCCCCCCAAATTGTTCCAAGTTCACTGAGGGTCAAGCAGAGACACGTTTGCCTGTGGGCAGGACTGCATGTCCTTGCTCAGTGGCCATGAGCCCCGAGGGGAGCAGAGCGCAGGAGAGGAGGTGCTGCCAGCCACTGCCCAGCTTCCAGAACGAGGACAGTGACTCAGCCCAGCCCAGTGATGATTAAGGCAGAGGGACAGCAGCAACGTAGACCCCTGGGGTGCAGGAGGGAAACGGGAGCACGGGGGTGGGAAAGAGGTTGGGGGAGGGGTACATTTAATTTTTCCAGATAGGTAAATTTTTATTTTATTTTATTTTATTTTGCTTTTTGGATCACACCCAGCGTTGCTCAGGGATTCCTCCTGGCTTTGCACTCAGGAATTACTCCTGGCGGCGCTTGGGGGACCATATGGGATGCTGGGAATCGAACCCTGCTCTGCCGTATGCAAGGCAAGTGCCCTACCCACTGTGTTATCACTCCCCAGATAGATATTTAAAAAAAAAATTTTGGGGTCACACCCAGTGATGCTCAGAGGTTACTTCTGACGGTGTCTAGGGGACATGTGGGATGCTGGGGATCAAACCGAGGCCAGCCTCATGCAAAGCGAGCATCCACCCACTGTTTAATTGCTCTGGCCCCCATCACGCTTTTTTTTTAAGCAAAATACTTGTGTGATTAGGGTGATTGATGAACTCACCCATTGTTTACTTTCTATTTTTTCTTTTAATTTTTATTGACACAGTGATTTGCAAAGTTGTTCATAATACAGTTGTTGCAGGCATACCATGTTCCAACACTGATTCTATCACCTTAGGGGCAGAGCGGAGGGTGACACTTAGCAGGAGCACAGAGCAAGGGGCGCATTTAGCGGGAGCACTACATGATGAGCACAGGGAGGGACTCCAGGTCTGTGGACTCTCCTGGCAGCTGGGGACGTTGAGAGCCAGGCTGCTAAACGGGACCTCAGCAGCCCCTGCTCCACTCTCTGGGCGGTCCGAGCAGCAGTGGCCTTGGGGACTGCTTAAGGACGTGTCGCACTGAGTCAGTCTGAGCCAAGAGGGACCGCAGGTGGAAAGTGGTCTCCGCAGCATGGGAGCAAAGTTGAGGTCCCGGGATCCAGCCCGTGGAAGATTGGGTTACAGGCAAGGGATCAAGGCTGCAGGCGGAGTTCAAGCTGCTAATCAGTTGACCTTAGAACAAGATTATCCTGGATTATCAGGCCCCTCAGACAGAAGAGGGCAGTGGGAGTATGCCAGCAGGACTTCCGAGAAATCCCAGAGAAGACCCTCATGCACCAGAGCTCGGAGCCCAGGCTGGGCCCCCAACCCCGCACACATTCAGAGCCCCAGGTGCCCCTGCTCCCTCCTGGACTCCTCCCGGGCAGGACAGAGTATGGGGGGACCCTCGGGGAACTGCAGGGCTCCGAGCAAAGACAGCCCAGGGGAAGGGCTGCCCCTTCTGGCCACAGGCAGAAATCACTGGTGCTGGCGGCATGACCAGGCTCTCATTGCTGGGGTTCACTATGCTCTGGGCTGAGCTCCCGCTCCTCCCACCCCCAAAGGGCCTCCCCCAAGTACCCCAGCCCTGCGTGAACCAGGTCAGTGCCCTGCAGAGCCCTGATTCAGGCTGAGCCCTTGGGTGGATGGGCCACAGTTGACTGCCTGCAAAAGCAAAACTAGTGGGGTAGAGGGGTGAGAGGACCGTGTCTGGTCACCTGCTATGGAGACCAGAGGGTAGCTGGGCAGGGGTGGCCAGGCTAGGTGAGAGGGACGGTGTGGCACAGAGAGCCACATTCATACTGGGTCCTGGTGGGGACAACTGGGTGCCCTGGCCATAGCTGGGGGGCTCATGGACCCTATGAATCGCAGGGAGCTGACCCTCCCCCATCTGCTGATCTAACTGCAGCCTCCGCAGTGACAGACTTTTCAAGGCCAGGCCACCTATGCCCCTCATGGTCACCCAAAGGGTTGACAGACAGGGAGGAGGCGGAGGTCCGGGCCTCCGGGAGGCCTCTCCCAGGGAAAGAGACCTGGGGTACTTGCTCGCTTCCTGCCCACATGGGGTCCCCTAACTCCTCCCTGTCCTCCCCTGTAGGCCCAGCATGACTAAGTGTCCACGCCTGCT